AAGCTACAGGAGCCGTAAAAACCCCATACCATGAAGCTCCCAGCATACAGTTTTTGTGCTGATGTTCATGCCAGAGGTTGTAGCCCAGTAGTTTTTGAGTTAGCAGAGAGTTGGTGACTTTTGCACACTATGCATCTCAGCATAGTGTGTAAGGTCTCAGATGCTGCTCTTTAGGTGGTCTGATACTGTGCTGCAATGAAATTTCAGCAAAAATGGACTGGCCCATCATTTTTTTCCACATTGATTCTTGGTTTAAACAAGTAGCTTAATTAGATTCTATCTTAATTCAAGGTTATTCATTACAATTTGGAATCACGTCGTATCTTATTCTAATTTTGACAGTCCACTTGAAACTTGAATGACTTATTTTAAATTATTTGTAATTTTTTAATTATAATTTCCTCCTACTTTGTTCTTCAGTTCTGTGTTTCTTTTTTAGCACTGGTTTTAAAAATGTGCTATACAAATCAACTGTAATAATATTATTTATTATTATATATTAATGATTGTTGGTTGTAAAAGGTATGAATGTTGTGGTTATTTCACAGTATAACTGTTTGTAGTAGAATATGCACATGCCTTTATTCGAAGCATTTGGAAATGACTAACGCTGACTGAACAGTATGTCTCAAAAAGGGAATAAACCTTATTACAATCAAGTCATGCACCTCCTCCTCCAAAGACAGAGTAGAAGAATATTTTATTTCACTTATATGTACATGCTGATGAATGTGTGTGTGAGGACACAGTCCACATACCCCACCTCCCCGCTGACTCTGCACCCAAACATCCAGCGTCAGATTGTTTAAACATTCCTTTCCTAAAGCCATCCATCAGCCGCAGAGAAGCTCTGCTCCTAAACCATCCCGCAGACTTTTCCTTTGGTGATAAAGCACTCAGACCTCATGTTGTTTAACTTTAACCTCTGTTTTTGCAGCGTGCCAGCGAGTGCCACACCCGTGTACCCGCCTGTACTCTGAAACCAAGAGCGTGCCCGTCTGGGAGGGTGGTGTGTGCCATTACCTGTAAGTCACATCAAACATACGTCTGCCAATCTGGGCTTGAATTAAATGTTTAAGTGTGGCCTAATGGATCCAATAAAAGTGCCTGCATTCTCTTTCGTAGGTATAAAAGGACATATAAAGTGCAGCAGGATGTGTGTTATCGAGAGATTTGTGAACTGACGCCTTCCAAGAAGAGTCAGAGTGAGTTAAACAATCTGTCTGCGCAATATTTGTAAGACGATAAACAAATGCAATGCTGTTCACAGACTAACTTTAACTGTCTTAACAGCCAGAAGAACAAACACACAACAATAAAGGTTTGTGATTTTTTTTCAGCCCTTTTTATGAACTGCTATTGTAGAGGATCACAAGATTTTCAGCACTTACCCTCAAAATGAGACTTTTCTTTTCTCTCTCTCTCTCTAGAGCACTTGGAGCCTGATGAAAGGACTGTCATCACTGTCATGTGAAAAACCTCCTTACTTCAATTTTGGTGTTTATAATCTACTTGAAGTAACTGATTATGGTCATTTTTTGTGCTGAAAAACCCTGTCAGAGCCCACTGTAACATTTCACAAACAAACCATCAACCATCTGAATATGAGGCTGCATCCCGAGAGTTGCCTTTGTAGCTCGCGGTAGCACGATCAGTCAGATGAAAAACGTCCCGCATCACGTATCATTTGCAGTGTTTGCTGACTGAGTTTCATACAACCACATATGGTATGCAAATATGAATCCTAGGCAGTCAACTGCACTGCATCAGAGACCTTATATACCTCATTTCAACGTCCAATGCTGACACATTCGGAGAGGTTTACGTTTGTGATTCAGCTGCAGGTTTGTCCCTCAGGGAAGTAAAAGCAGAGTCTTTTCCTTACATCAGTCCCATCATCTCCTTACGAAGACAGCAGGAAATGTGTACTTTCACCCTTAAACTGATCTCGTCCTCTGACAATGATGCACAGCGTTTTCTGTGTAGAATATGTTCCTCTGTGTCTCAGCAGGCGTCGCTGCTCACTAATCTGTAAATAGTGTTTATAGGCCATTTTGTAGGTGAATATTTTAATAATAAAAATGTTTAAATGATTCCTGTTGTGTGTGTGTTGCAGTTCTTGCCATCATTTGTCACACTGTGTTGAATCTATCGTGTTTTGACAGCATCAAAAACTATACTAAAAGTATTTTATTAACAGATTAAAGGAGAGCGGTTGTACTCATTTTTAGCTCCATTATACTGTTTTTGGAATCTATTACAGTAGCTTAGCACAATTTAGCATTAGTTCATGGCTCACAATAATCCTTATCTTAAACTGGGTCTTGGTGCAGTGCCTCAGTTCGCCCTCTGTCTGAAACAAGCTGGTTTGGCTCATGTCTTTTAATGTGTTGCCCCTCATAAATGGTTTGAATAGCAAGTAGGTGGAGTTGTGTGCCACAGATGACCATATTAGGGACATCCTGTTTCACTGATAGGCATCATGCAAAGCCAGAGTAGGAAAAAAAATGTCCATAGGCTATGTGCAAAAGATAGATGTGACCACCTTGGCATCTATATTTTGAAGACTCCGATTTGTAGGCATGACTATATTTGTGTTCATCTGTTTGTTTTGTGCTTTTTTGAGCTATAAATTACCATATTTAGAGATTGCTAAGCTATCAGCTAACACTGACAACTTAGTTTATTAGTACTTTTGTGTGGTGCTAATAAAGTGGCATTTATAAATTGTATAGCGGCTCACAGAAATGGAGATATTTTCTGATTAATGCCAAACCAACATCCAAATAAATATCGTGGAATTTCACTCTTTAAACACAGACGGTGTGCACTTTACAGCAAGCCAGATGAATGCATTAAAACTGCTACAAAATACACCAACAGCTCAAACACGGTTAAGTGCTACAGTTTAATGACACTGCTTGGTAAAGGTGAAGCCTAAGAGACCGACCAGTAATTATCCGCTTGTTATAAAGGAGGAAATTAACTACAGAGCTCAAAATCTTTACCAGGCTGTAAAAGTATTGTTTATATAGCTGAAATTGGCTATTTTAACATGAGAATCTGCGGAAACTGACTCACTTTTGGAGCCAGCCTTTAAGAATCTGAGCAACTGCAGTTTTTGGTTCACTAACTCTGCAATCTGAAGCTTGAGTTTTGGGCTCCCAACCTCACTCCCTGGCTACTTTTAATATGAGCATCCACCTGTGTTACAGTATAAGTTTGACAGAAAATAAGGAAAAGCAGAATAGGCTCATAACTTTGTTTACTCTGTTAATGGAGACATTTTTTTTAAAAGTTTACTACTGAACGTCACTGCTCTTCTCTTTGTTCCTGTGTGTGTCTGGTTTATTGAGTTGCTGAAGCATGCAAAAGTGGGCGGAGATGCAAAATTAAAGACTCCAAATCCAAACTTTAGCTTTAATCATTAAATTAGGCCAATTTGGAACATACTTCATGAAAGAAAACAGAGCATGGGCATGCCTTGGGTTTTGTTAATCAATCACCCCAGTCAGAAAGGAGACTGCTCTATCAGAACATCACCACATAACAAAAGCTTCCTCGCTGCTGTAATTTGTCTGCCTAACGCCCTGTAGTCATGAGTCTCTAGCTCTGCCAAAGTGACTCTTCTAAGCCTCAGGCTATATACAGACAGGGGTCAAATTAAAGGCAAATGTAAACTAAATAAAGAAGAAAAAAAAGATGACGAAGGGCCACTGATCGATGAGAAAATAATATGAATCATATTTACCAGAATTCAAACCAGCTGGAGGCAGATGAAATATTAATTTGCCATATTAGACCCACTTGTTTACTGCCTTAAAGAAAAGCCTCACACCAGAGCCACTGGGGTATTGTTTATATTACAGTGGAACAGCTGATAAGGACACTGCAGTGAGTGTCACAACAACTGGATGTTCTCAAGTAAAGGACATGCCCTCCATGCCAAAAGTCCAAAGCTGAACAGACAGTGAAGCAAGAAATTTCAAAGAAAGCTTCCACTTAAAACGGAGAAGCTGTGCCATCCAGATCCTTTAAGGATTTTGAAAAACTTCTTGACGACCTTAAGTTGTTTCATCAGTATATCTATGAACTGTTATACAGAACATGTAAACAACAAAGTTGTTTCTCCCTTTCACATCTGCTGGATTCAGAGACCAGTGTTGCTAATCTAGGAAACCTTGTTTCAGTGAAAATGAGCTATCTTGTGTTGGGTTATATGACTGGAAAGAGGTGTTGTTGGTGCTCTGATAATGTTTAATCATAATCATTGATCTCATGAGATCAAATATGTGAATTTCTTTGTGAACTTAAACCTAAAAGATAATGTCATTCCTTTATTAAACAATTATTTTTTTCAGTTTTTCTCCTAAATATATCCGTTTTTAATATTTTTGTTCCTTTTTTCTTTTATTTCCCTTTTATTTCCTAGTAGATTTATTTTTAAACTGCCATTTTTTAATAAAAGAATTTAAAATTTGTCTTGTAAATATTTCCCTCACAATTTATTTAATTTTAAAAAAAAAAATATGTCTGGGGGTTTTTTAATCACACGATTTGAACTTTTTCCTTTTCAGTTTGACTTTTCATAAATATTGCATTTTGTCTCATAAAATTTCCATTTTTCTTATAAATTTAAATAATTTATATCAATCTGGAACCTTTTGCCATACTTTTTTTTTTTTTTAGCTTTTGTCATTATAGCTTTTTCTTATGCGTTTTTTGTAATTTGCAATCCTTTTCTTTTAAATTTAACTGGGGTTTTTTTTTGTAAATTTCCAACCTAAATCACCAACCCAACAAAAAATAACCTTTTTTTAAAGTCTAACATGCCATCTAGATAAAGTCGGTCTTTTTTCCACTTTATGCATTCTTTATATCTTTATTTGAGGCATGCGTATCTTTTAATGTAGAAATTATAATAATATAAATAAATAAATGACATTAACTTGTTGTTTCCTTATTGTCCGCTGGCTGTAATATTTCCGACGGCACGTGAAGGCAGCAGAAGCCAGAGCGCTGCGCGCCCCCGTTGCCCCCCTTCCTGCCCGGAGTGAAAACTGAGAGGAAAAAGCGTCGGGAGCAGAGACCATGGAGGGGGAAAGCTGGATGTATTAGCTAGTTTGCTGCTTAGGGCACTTTTTACTCTTCTTTCGCTTCTACCCACAGAAATCAAAGCGTCTCAATGTGGAGATATCCGGTGTGTATTTTACGTTGCTCGTAAATCTCCTGAACAGTCAAACAATCAACTGCGAGTCGGACCGCGGACGGTTAGCACAGCCTGACTGAAAGTTAGCCCGCTCCGGCTAACTTAGCCCGCTCCAGCTACCACGAAAGGACAAAAAAACCCCTAAAAACACGATAGTGAGTAAGAGTGTCGGGGCTTGAAGTAACTCGTAATGTTGCCTCCCGGGATTAATTTCAGATACGGATGAGAAAGAAATTCTCTGGGAACAGCGAGAACAACAGCGAGCCAGACAACCACCGTCGTTATGCTGGGGTTGATCCGCGGCTCCGGCAGCCCGTCCGAGTCCCGAGTGTGGCCGCACTCGGTGCTCTGGAGGCTGGGGGGCTTCTTCTTCCTGCTGCTGCTGGAAGGGGCCGGCTGCCTGGCCAGCCCGGGCAGCCCCGTAGGCGTCAACAACAACAACCCCGGAGTCAACATCTACATGAGTGTGGAGGAGGTGAAGAAGCTCCTGGGTAAGGAGGCCTACATAGTAATCCAGCTGTGTTCAAACTTTGCAATCTGTCCACTTGTCTGTCCACTTCATGTGTTTGTGTGCCCCTCACATCTGTAAATTTAGCTTTAAAACTTGGACGAACTCCACCGAACTGTTACAGCTAATTGTGCAGGTACATTATATCAATGATTTACAGCTGTGATTCTAGTGTTTCCTCTGTATTTGTAAAAGTAAAAAAATTCTCATAAATTCTTACTTTTTATCTGGCAAATTTGTGAGTTTTCTCTTCTAATTGTGTTCGTTTTTCATAAAATAACATTTGTTCTTGAAAGATTGCCCCCTTTCCCGTATATTTCACTGTTTTTGTCTTTTGAAATTGCACTTTTAATCCTAAATTTTGCCAGTTTTTGTCCATTTGATTCGTCAATTAGTTTGTGGGGGTAAATGTTTCAGTTTTTCTAGTGAATTTTTTTTTTTTTTTTTAAATTTTTTGGGTTTTTTTCCCCCCAAAAAATTCCCTCGTGAATCAGACGTTTTCTTTTACTTTTCTTTTTTTTTTTTATGTCGTACTTTTGCATATTTGTCTAATGAATTTATCCGTTTATCTAGGAAATATAGGAGTTTAAAAATATTTTAAGTTTATCACTTATGTTCTTGTAAATTGGCAAGTTTTGTCTTAATTTAAGACTTTCTTTTAAAGATTTTTTTGTCTAATTATTTTGTTCTATTTGGTAAATTTGCAAGTTATTTCTTGAATATTTATTTAAATTGTCCTCGTGAATTTATTAGTTGACTGCCAGTGTCACTGATGAGGCATCAGTACTGTACATGTACGGGTCAAAGTAACCTTTACATGTTTCTGATATGTTGTGATATAATTGGTCGTCGTTGTTGTTGTTGTTGTGGTTGGTCAGTTTATAAGGTTGTGTCTCATGATTGTTATGATGTTGCTGATTAGGATTAAATGTACTGTGGCATTAGAACATCAGCAGAATAATCGGAAGTGCTGGTTGTCATCTCATGACTGTGCTGCTGTTGGTGCAAGCCATCAGTGTTATGTTGGTCTAACACTGTCTGAATGTTTAAAATCTTAGTGACAAGGTGAAGCCAGCCTGTGAATCGGTCCTAAGTTGTTAATGGAGGGTTTGCTTTAGAAGTGTTGAACGTGCACTTTGAAACCAGCCATTTACCATGTGCACAGGCTAATGAAGGGGTAGAAGTGTTTGTATGTAATGTCCCCGTGGAGGGAGTAATCTCGTGTTGCAGCTCCTGCTAACTGACGTCTTCCTTTCGATAAACGAGTCATCTTATAGTGGCATCAGCAGAATTATGTTGTTTCTGTTGGGGAATCTTTTGGGAAGTACCTCCAGCTGCATCCAGCTTTTTTAACAGGACCGTGTGCTGGTAAACCTCCCTGTGTATGGGCCTAATTTATAGCAGGGACTTTTGGGATGTGGTGTTAAATCATTTGTTTGAGAATGACCGGCACTGTTGTTTGATTAGTTATTGAACAAGTGTTGTTTTTTTGTTTTTTTTGTGAGGTTACGTGTATTTACCGCATCACCAGGGATTAGCAGATTTAAAAACAAAAAAAATTACAATACCCTTGAGATATTTAAGGAAGTTAAATAGGATTTGATGGGGAAAATACCCATTTAGTTTTCTTTTTCCATAGTTTTTGAGCCCTTAAGTCTTCAAGTACAGGAGATAGTCACATGAAGTCGTCAGGGCTGTTCTTCTACATCACTATGTGAATGTCTCCTGTACTTTGAATCTACAGGGGCTCCGAAAGGGTGAAGTAGTAATGTAAATTAAAAAAAAAAAAATTGTAATTTTTAACCTTGATGTACTTGGAGGCTTTGTAACACATGAATTCAAATATTCACTAGAAAAAGTTGCATTTCCTGCGAAAATGCAGTGTGAATGCCTTGTAGTGTAATCTGAAAACAGCAGAAGAAGGAGAACCTGTTGAAAAAACACTGTGTAGAAGCTGAACTCTTTGCTGAAAATGGCTCTATTTGAAAGGGTACACTAAGCAGTGTTAAGAAAGCAGATTACATGCAAGCAGGGAAGATGTGCGGCAACTGTCACATGTAGGATTCGAACCATTGCCACCGGATCTCACGGCGGCTGCTCATTCCACTGAGCCAAACCAGTTATGGTCTCAAACAGAAGAAGCTAAATTGTGCTGAAAATAGGTGAAAATGCTGAATGTTCAGCAAAAAACAGACAAAGAACCTGAAAATTGTCCTGAAAAGAGGTGAATCAGCAGAACCCGGCCTGTCTGCTCTAAGAACGGTTGCTCCATCTCACTGAGCTAAAACATGGCTCAGCTCAGCAAGCTAAACTGGTGATCACACTGATAATGTTGTCCCATTCAGCAAAATGGGCCAAAAAATCGCATAAAAAGCTTAATATCTGAAAAAGTATAGAAGTTATGAGCACCAAAAGATACAGCACGCTTCAGCAGAAAGAGCAGAACAGTTTAAAGTTTGAAAATCGGCTGAAAACTGGGGGACTAGTTAACCAGCAAAGGTCAGAGCAACTAGAATAATAATAACTAGAAAAAGTTGCATTTCCTGTGAAAATGCAGTGTGAATGCCTCATATTGGAATCTGCTGAAAACAACTGAAAAAGCAGAATTATCTGCTGAAACAGGTGTAGAAGCGGAAGTGCTTGCTGAAGATGGCTGTATATGAAAGGGTACACTGAAGAGTGTCAAGAAAGCAGAGCGGAGGCAAGCGGGAAGATGTGTGGAAACCGTCACACGTAGGATTCGAACCTTTGCCAGCGGGTTGAGGCATTCACACATTAATATCATGGTAAAAGTTTCTGTGTGTAAATTTAATATCCTAAACTTAATGTCCAAAAAATATTTGCTGATTTTGAGGGGTCAGGGACTTTTTCCAGATTTAATTTTATATGGAGTGACTGTGCCGTGTATAATTGCAGGAAATGTAACGAGAATTTCCTAAATTTTCAAAGAAAGGACTGTAGTCTCCCTGCCAAAATTATGCCCCCACCATTTCCCAAATTGAGCCCTTGTGTCCTCATGCCACATGCATTCAGTATTTCATTGCCTGCAGCCTTGACTTGTTAACTGCCCCGGCACCAATGTACCACCCTTTGTGCTTTCTCTCTCCTCTCTGACTGGTGTTGGATCGTTGGCTGACTCTGTCCCTTTGGGTTCCCCTTGTTCTCCATCAAGTTACAGTTAATCTTCTGCTGCCAGACCAGGGCCTCTCTTGCGGTTTGCCTGAAACCTCATCTGGTTGTACGGCGAAATCTCTTAATGTTTGACAACTATGTCTGCGGCGCTAAAAGTATGTGTGGACAGAATCTTCCATGATGCAGCAGTAACTGCAGGAATTAAACTTGCTTGAGAGTTGAGTTGCCCGGTGTCAGCATCATAATGTAGACAGCCTGCCGGAGAGTCTGACTGCAGTTTACTTTTGGTTTTAATCAGGTCTCTGTATTTTGTAAGATGTCAAACACATTTATGAAAGCATATTTATAACATGCATCTACAAAAAAATTTAATTTCATAGGTCATAGTGGGGATAATTCAGTTTCTGCAGTTTTTTAAGACTTCGAATAATTCTATCAGGCATTGTCAGCACTAAGTTGCACTATGCTATGTCTAAATGTGACATAGTAAAAGTGCAGGTTAATGTGTCTTCAATAGGTTAGTTTGACTCTGAACTGACATTGAAACATAAGTCACAAACCAGCTGATGAGCAACTGTCATTTTATGCAAGGTACAGTAAGTTCATGTGTTTTATTATTCATTGCTGAATCAGTGCTGTCCCCTTATTCACTATAAGAATGCTTTGAGAGCAAGCTGTTGCATAAATAAGACTATCTACAACAATCAGGTTGAGTGGAAACAATGCAGCTTTTACATTTTAGTTAACACCATATGGAAACACCTTTGAAACCCCCAAAGTGGGGGTATTCAGAAGTGCACTTTACCAGCCTTGTGTGCAGGAACATGTCCGTGACTTCAGCTAGAGGGGGCTTTAATCTCCTAAAATAGTTTTCACTACCACAACAGGAAAAGCTTGTATTTAATATAAAGTAAAGCTCTGAACCTGAGGTATGTGCTTGGCCATATAATTAATGTGTTATTCACACAGCCACTCTGTGTACAGTTACACTGTTAACTGGCCTGTGAGTCAACACATAAGACTCTTTTCTTGGGAATCTTTGGGACAGATCAGAGTAGGAAAAGCAGGTGTAAGTAATGAAATTGGCTGGCCTGTTTTTCAGCATTGTTGCAGGTTGTTGCATTATTTCAACAAACAGAGGGCAACTCATTAAGTTTCAGGAACACTTTGAGTTGTATAGAAATCTATGGGAAAATAGACTCTTGCTTCATGACATCAGTAAACACATTCCTGGTGAGTTTATTGCCTAATTGGCTAGCTTCAAGTCTTGCTTGTGGGAAGGCTGCTTGGTATTTGTGGCCATTGAACCAAGCAAACTGTTGGCAAAGGGAACAGAATTTAGAATTTTTTTTGGGAAACACTGCATTTAACATCACTTAGGCAGGTAAATGATCAAGGATGTAGTTGTGTCATCTGCATAACAGCTGACACAAGTTATCAACATTCAACTTCACACTCTGCTTCTGAATATGTTTCTATTGCAGGTCTGTCTTAGTCGCAAATGTAGGTGACACATTTGCATTTACATTACGAGATTGTTGCGGTACAGAGCCATGTATTAAATGAAGCTTCAAAGCAAAGAATTTGTGTCAGATTTTTATCACTGAATTATTCAACGTACTCAATGAATCATTGCTGCCCTAAAGTTGACCTTGAAGGGCTTGGCTAATGTAAACCATATTTTAATGTTATGTTAACATGACCCCAGTCTACACCCCCCAACAAAGTATTATCAGAATTTATTCAAAGTTTTTCGAGCTATCAGCAGCAAACACTACCAAAATCATTAACTTTTTGGTAAAGGTAATAAAAGTGGACCAAATGTAGAGCCTTGAGGAACACCGCAATTAA